GTTTCCTCACAGCGCAGATCTTCCTCTGCCTGAGCCTGAGCCAGGGGGCTGCGGGGAGGGTCTGGGCCTTAGCCTTCCCTCTTCTTCTGGTAGCTACAGGCTCTGGTATCTGCAGGAATGCACCCGGGTCAGGAAGACGAAGCGTCATTCCCAGCAGAGGTCCCTCAGCTGTGCCGGAGCCACTGTGACCCTGGGCACAGAGTGATTCATCAGAGAGCTCTGTGGTGGTCCAGAAACCAAAAAGCCAAACAGGCTCTGATTCCAAGGACAGCTGTCGTCCTCAGCCCTCACATGGTCCTGCTCTAACTATCGGCTTTCTTCACCTTCCTAAGATTTCTTCCCTTAGTGTTTGGCTACTCAAGTGTCTACAAGGGAGCATTTTGACTCTTGCATTATATTACTGTGCCCATAAACATGCTGTCTTTAGGCTGAGGTGTTCTTCTGCACCAGCCTTAAACTCTGTGTCCTCACACAGACTGAGCCACTCACGTAAGTCGGCTCCATTCATTATGTGCCTGTGTCAGAGGACCCATTAATAACAACTGCTATTTGAAATCATAATTTATGAGAATTCTGGCTATACTTTCATCAGTCTGTTTGTTACTATAATTTGAAGTAACACACTTTAAACTTAGCCCAGTATTATGCAGCAATGAGCATGACTTTAATATTTTTCTAGAGAAATTTGGACAGTAAGTAGATGTAGTCACCTGCCTCCTGTTTGGTGTGAGATCTTGGGGCATTGCACATCTATGTGAATCCAAAATATGTCTTTACCCTAGTGGAGTGGACTGCTCCCTAAGCAACTTGCCGTAATATAGTCCTCTTCCTCCACATGTTCTTCATTTCACTTCCTCCAGGTGAAAGAGTGTTGACCTACTGTGCATCCTGGAGGTGGGTCCCAGTTCTGACCAAGAGCCCCAGAGCGTGGGGAGGCTGGAGAGTGCTGGATAGATGGGAATCACTGGGAGGACACGGCAGATGGAAGAGCTCTGAGGAGTCCATCAGGACTCTGAGGCCCCTTGATGCTGTCGTTTTTATCATGCCCCTCTCTAAACAGTCACTCCAGGTTTGTCCTTGACACATTCCTTAAACTGCTGTGCCTCCTGAAACCTGCACCATGAAACACTATGTGCTAGACACTGAGGCCAAGTGCTGCTTTCCTTAACCCTCAGTTGCCATCTTCAGTCTCCCTGTTCGCCAGGAGATTAGACAAAGTTTAAAAACCAGCGTCTGACATTTCTAAAGACAGGGCTACCTGACACCAAACCTGGCAACAGCCTGTGGTTCTTTTTTTCTGTATAGAAACTGATATGACATTTTATTCCCATCACAATTTTTACATATAATCCAAGTCTAAATAAAGTGCTTTTTCTCTATTTAGACAGATTTAAAATCATAGAAGTTTCCATTTCTATACTGAAATTAATGACCCAATGAAAGGATAATTAGTACAGAAATACATGGCAACTTCTCGAAGAAGAGCAAAAATAAAGTGAAAGACATAAATCCTTTCCATTTTTCAGCTTTGCCAATGGAAGGTGCTCCCAAGGTAACAGGTACTGCTGGGTGGGCTCACACTGGTCCAGGTAATTTTCCATCTGGTTTCAGAAGAACAGAACAGTGTAGAATTTGCATTGTTGGTCACCCAGTGAGGCCTTGGTCCTACAGTGAAGAAATTCTGTATAAAATCTGCATGGCTGCGGGGGTGCAGCTCAGGGGGGTGCAGCTCAGTGGTAGAGAGCTTGCCTGGGGGGATGATAAAAGAGGATGTGACACCAGTTGTTATTCAATATCACATGAACATATAAAATACACAAGAAGGGTCTGCAGAGAAAAACATTAACCATAAGAAATAATGACTCCTTTCATCAGCTTAAGAGTGGGAAGAACTTGTGGGGTGTGGTGGTGCCCACCTGTCATACCAGTGCCTTAGGAGGCTAAGGCAGGAGGATCACAAGTTTAAGGCCAGTCTCAGCAATTTCATGACACCCTGTCTCAAAATTTAAAATAAAATAAGACTGGGAACATAGCCTATTGGTAAAGTACCTGAGTTCAATCCCCAGTACTTTCCCACTCCACAAAAGAAAGAACTTATTTCAAACCCCTGTGTAAAATAAATCATGTCAGTTTTACTTTACAAATAGCCATATGATCACAGGGCTTTTGGGGGGGGCAGTGGGGGTGTTGCTGTGGATTGAACCAGGGGCTTGTGCATGCTAAACACATGTCCTACTGCTGAGCTATATCCCCAGCTATTGGAGGGATCTAATATCATGTAGAAAAACTTTTGGCCATGGGATAATTGAACTGTACCTTCGATCCTAGGAAAACCCAAAAAGTTCAATTATTTAACAATGTACAAAAGAGACATTCTTCTCAAGTTAGCAAAGTACTTCTACAAAGTTCCTTTCAAATGACCCATAAGCCCCATCTACTAAACACCACACAGGTGAGAACCAAGTTCAAGTTTCCAACACGCTACACAATGTTTTTCAGCAAGGGCTGGGGTTCCCTAGGACAGCAGGACAGGGCGTCCTTCAGTCTGAGGTTGCTCTGAACTCTTCAGCCATGAGCACGCCTGTGAGCCTCTCACGTCCTACTGGGCTGAGAGTCTAGGTCTGAGCAAGTGAGCGCCAACAGCCGCTTACTCAACAGGGCATTGTGTCGCTTCAAGTACACTATTATGTCTCCTTGCTTTTCAACTATTTCTTCCAGGCTTGAAATGTCCTTAATCCAGTTTCTGAGGTAATGTTGCTGTGGTAAGCATAGATTTTTTCTCTTTAAGTACATCAGGTGGTGGTTTGGCTCTATTAAATTCTCTAATTTCACTGCATAAATGACCAGACAGGTCAGGGAGCAGAGCAGTTCCAGGGCCAGGATGGCCAGATGAGGTCCAGGTGCAACCTGCTGGGCTCAGGAGAAGAAGGCTGCATGCACAATGTGAGGAGAAGCAGGTGGAGTGTGTCACCAGGGCGAGGCTCTTCAGATGCCTTGTGGCACGGTAGATCTGGTTATAGCCGCGGTTCCTCACTTTGCTGTGGTGATACTGAATGTAGCGTTCCAGAAGTAAGTGCAGAATCCACAAAATGACTTTTCCTAGGATTATGACTGTCTGGACTTTCAGTGGGTGGGTGTGGTTTCCAGGGCACATGTCCTCGWTTGGGTCAGGGTAAGAACAAAGCACACCTGTCGAGAACGTAAAATAACAAACACAACATGGATAAACAGAAGATTTGCTATGATGACTGTAGGGAGAGGGTGGAWTCTGGGTCTAAAATGAGCTTGTAATGAGTGATGTGGGAGAAGCTGGGCATCCAGAGTGGGTCCTCTTCAATACTTTGTTTAATGTCCAGGGGACCATCCTCTATTCTGACCGCCGCCACCATTTCCTGACACCAGAGGCCGCAGCCCCCTGCAGCCTGACCTCTCCACTGTGCCAAGGTGCCACAGGCCCAGGAAAGTCACCACCTTCTGGGACCTGCGGCCCCACCCCGGACACCAAGCCTGTGGTTCTACACTTCATGATGCCAGAGACTTTCAGAGCTGAGACCCACAAAGGAACCCTTTGAGGACTTGCAGTAAGTGGAGGAGGAAGCATTTATAAGTTTGTTTTAAGCACAGAGAACATGTACAATTTCTGGGTTTATTTCAAGCATCATGGTTTCTTTAACTTGGGAGAAACCAACCATACTTTCCTACAAGTTCCTAGGTTAGACTTGAGATCAGAGCACTTACATGTGAAAAGGTAGCATCCTGGCCATTTTTGCATGAGTTCAGTGGGAATAGATAAAGATACTTTAGCCCTAAAACGTTGGGAACAGAGGCACAGGTAGCACAGGCTACAGAGTTGAATGAAGTCGGTTCCCCCAGGGTTCACAGCAGGTGTAAAAGGCCCTCAGGTCCCCTACTCTAGGGATTTCTTTTCATGACAAAGTTCTCCCAACCTACTTTGTTATAAGCAGGTTATACAAGGGGTTCCTTATCCATGAGTGCTCTCCTGTCCAGACAGCACATAGCCCATAGTCAATCCTCCTGGCTAATCTCATTGTTACCAGCACACCCAGAGCTGACCTAGGCTCCCTTAGAGCCCCTGAGGCCTGGGTGGGAATGGACATCTCCTGAGACTGTCACAGGCAGCCTCCATGGTCCTCTAGGGCACCCTCCCTGGCTGCAGCCTGTGGATTATGGGACCTTCTCAGGCTGGAGCCTGGTCCCTGGAGGCCTTTTCTGATGAGCTTTGACCACTGGATCCTACATGGAAAGGTCATGCAGCCTGCCTACTTGAGGACTCTAAAAAGTGCTGAAAATCTAAGGCAGTAAGACCACAAAGTCATTTTGGTGTGTAGAAGTAGAGAAATATTAAGGGACTGTCATCAAAGACAAAAAACTAGAAATCCTAAAAGTAAAACTGGAATTTCTCACATTCACAAAAGTGAGAGACAGAAAGGTCAATTCAACAAAATAAAAGGTGATACGGATTTTGAAACTGGCTGAATTTACAAGATGTTAAAGAATTTTGTAAGTTCCTGGTGGGTGGTGGTGTGTGGAAGATAGCCAGGTCAAACTTTAGTCCCTGGATTTAGAGAGAGAATAATTGAGAATATGCTAGCTTAAGATTTAAAAAATAGGGAAATACTGGTTGGTGAAATTTAGGTTTAGTTCAACCTATGGGTTGAATATAGGAGGAATATTAAGGATTTGAACACGTAGATTCGTTTTCCCAATATGGAGTTATAAAAGAATGAATTGCTGATGTAGAATTTTGGATATTAATTGTCAAGATGGCATCTGACACCATATAGAATGACCCATGAAGAATGACACAGAAAGTAAAAGATACTGGGACAAAGATTTGCGACAGTTTTCCATGTCCCAACAGCCTTTTCACTTTAAAAATTGTTGACTTGAATGCTTTTACAGATAACATTGAAATATTGCTGTGCCTTTCTTTGAACAGGTGTTTCCAGCATCCATGTTATTGTGCCTATGAGGATGACATGGTTGTGAACCTCGTCAAGGGGATAATCGTCGTCTTCCCAACAGGGCTTGGGCCTGTGGGGAACATCTTTGTTCTTGTGCATTATGTATGCATTTTTCAAGGCAGTGAGAAGAAACCTATACACCTTATTCTCATCCATTTGGCCTTCACCAATATTATAACCCTTTTCTCCAGGGGAATGCCAAGGACAGTAGCAGCTTTTGCTTTGATGAATTTTCTTTATGATGTTGGCTGTAAGATACTGGGTTACCTGGAAAGAGTGGCCCGGGGCCTGTCCATCTGCACCACCAGTCTCCTCACAGTGGTCCAGGCCATCACCATCAGTCCCAGAGCCTCCAGGTGGGGGAGACTAAAACCCAGGTCTGCATGGCACGTCCTTCCCCTGTTCCTCTTCTTTTGGATGCTCAATTCCTTGATAAGCATGAACTTACTATTTTACATCAAAAATATCAGCAACATGAACACATCAGAAATTATTAGAAGTGACAACGACTGTTACTTTCAACCTCACAACTGGATAATCAGATGGATTTTTATTGTTCTCATGGTCCTTCGAGATGCTGTGTTCCAGGGTGCCATGGGCTGGGCCAGTGGCCACATGGTGTCCCTCCTCCACAAGCACCACCAGCAGGTGCTCTACCTTCAGACCTCCAAGCTCCTCCACAGAACACCCCCTGAGGTGAAAGCCTCTCAAAGTTTTCTTCTCTTAATGCTCTGCTTTCTCTTCTTTTATTGGACAGATTGCTTTATGACTTTACATCTAAATTTCTCCGTACACAAGGATTCCATAACAGAAATTACTCAAGAAACTCTGACTCTTGGTTATGCAATGTCAGTCCCTTTGTGCTAATCTACAGAGATGGACATCTGGTTGAATGCAGGCGTCCTTCCTAAGGACGATTTTGAGAAAATGTCAGATTTATAGGTCCTTTCAAGTAAGGCTGCTTGAATCATCCTCAGTTTGTGTTGCTGTATGTGACACCAAATCAAGCAAAGGCAGCCAGGTCATACAGTGGTGCATTCTCATGCCACAAAGCTGGTGACAGTCCCCATCTGTCACAGAGGTCACAAGAAGCTGGAGGACCCAGCTGTCTTTTCATTCTCCTTGTGCCATCCTTCAGGTCGAGGCTGATGTGAGATAGCTCTGTTACTACCACCACTTCTTCTTGTAAGATGAAAGCAAATTTGGAAACTCATATGAAAGTAACAAATATTACTTACATATTCACCTTTTACCCAAGAATTTCACTTCTAGGATGCAGTCTTCCAGCTATACTTGCTCACGTAAAATATAAACCATGGAAATATTGTACTACACTCTGTTATTTTAAAAACCAGTGGCAATATCCAGTAAAACAGCCATATCTATTTTACTAGTTCACAATATATCAGAGATATTCATCCACCCAGTGTGATTTTGTTAGAGTCGTGAAAGAGTGAACAAGTTGAAAGTGTGTTCGTATGCATTGATATCTCAGATTCAAAAAGTGATGCAGTATGATAGCATTTGAAGTGGAATATAACAATACACATAATTTGATGATGTTTATTGAACTTGTGAAAGAACCAGCCTTTCCATACCATGTTGATGTGCAATCATGTCTAACATGCAGGTATGACTAATGAGAAATCTTTGTGGAGCAATAATATTTAAAATTGAATAGAATAATATACATCATTGCACCTGTCTAGTTTGTAGATTTCCTCAAGAATATAAAACTTCAAAGTGTAGATGTGTGTTTTCAGAGAAACCAGGTAAATGAAGGCAAAACAGTGAATTCACATTTTTCTCTCTGCATTTTCTGACCTACTAATTATTTAAATGAATTTTTAACAGATAAATAAGAAGTAAATGTTGAGCACAACTCATGATATTTTAAATACGCTGCTTGTTAAAGCCTCTTCACTGCCTGGGCTGTGGTCCTGACGTCAGTGGTCCACAACACATTCTGATTGTTAATTAAGTGAAGAAATCTCTTTGTATTTTTCTTAGATTTCAACCCCCAAAAATGGCATTGTTTTGCCATTATGATATTTGAGTAAGCCATTAAAAAATTGTGATTTTATTTTACTTATTTCACATACCCACACTTCAAATCCCTAGAAATGACACTGAGTCTCATGCTTCATTGCCAAGTGTGCATCTTCTTCAACTCTCCTGTGCCCTGACATGCTTGGGGTCTTATTCTCTATAAACAATGGTGAAGGGCTCTTCTTTGTGGCTTCACGGTAACATGTCCACACAGAGGGTACTGACTAATTAGTGTTATTCTGTCACACTCTGTTATGACGGGAGCTCATCTTCCTCATACAACCATGGCTTGATGGAACACAGGGAGTGGACGCTCCATCCACAGCCGTCTCCTAATAGCTGGCATCGAGAGCAGGACCCACTGAGCCGTCCTGAGTAAGTCCTTGGCTATGGACACAAAGGGCAGGAGTGCAAATTCTGGACGTCAGGTGGGAATCCCACATGCAGGTTGGCTCATGCCAGGTGCAGTGGCACACACCTGTACCCAGCCACCTGGGAGAGCAAAGCAGGAAGATCACAAGTTCAAGGACATCCTGGACAACTTAGTGAAACCACGTCTAAATATAAAGTGAAAATGGGTGGGGTGTGGCTCGATGATAATGTGCTCTTGGTTTTAATCCCCAATACCCATAATTTTGTTTAAAAAAGGTTGATTTATGAAGAACAAATGTCTGAGCACTAAACACAGAGGAACTATCTAGATGAACAAGGAGAGTATTTGTGACTCTTGGGAAAATTAAAGTTGTCCTACAGCTTTACTATTTAAAGCAGTGGGATTCTACTTTTCACTAAAACTAGAATTAAGTTGAGAAAATTTAACAAAAACACATAGAATCATAAAAAAGAAACAATTGAAAACAGAGAGGCACATGATTAAAATTGCTCCATATCCAAGAGTGTGGCAGATAGAAAACAAACCTTGAAATAGTGACCTTGCAAACACTGGCCATCTCCCTGGGTCTAATGACCCCCAGTTCCCCCCAGTGGTTCCATGGCCACCTTGCCCTTGGAGAATCAGTGCAGCACATGACAAACCTGACCCTGTGAGCAGAGTGTCCTGTCGTGTTTACAGATTCCAGTTCAGGGCTAGCACATCCTACTTTGTGTTTACTGTAGGATATGGGGCTACCCTTAGGAATTTCTCCATAAATGGTCCTGGTTAAACTGGATCTCTATGTGGAAAAAGAATAAAGTCAGGCTCTTGAACTCAAAAGAATAAAACACAGACCTAAGAATTGAAGCCACAGAGCTCCTCACACACAATAGAGGGAAGTGTCCCTTCACTGTGGTCTTCCAAGGGAGATGACACCCAAGTAGAGGAACATTGACAAACCCCTAAGGGACTCCATGAAATAATGAGGCTTCTGCACACAAAGGGGACAATGCACACAAGTAAACTTCAGGCCACAGATGAGGGAGATATGTGACCCACACCTGGTAAAGGCTTAATATCCAAAACATAAGACCCTCGTACATCCTTGTGACCTGAAGATACAGGGAACCTAGTGAAGAAAGACCAAGGGACCTTGGAATATGTTTTTCCAAGAAGAACATCAAATGTCCAGCGGTTATGAGAGCAGATGCTCAACATCACTGATCCTCTGGGCAAAGAAAGTCAAAATCACTCGAGACCCGTCCTCATGCCTGGGAGGTGGGCTGTGGTCTAATAGGATGTAACAGTGTTCGTGAGGGTGAGTGTGGGAAAATAAGTGATCTGATATGTGAAAAAGTGACTCTTTGGGTATTTGTACACTGTTGGTGGGAACATCAATTCCCATGGCCACAATGGAAAACGCATGGGAATTCCACAAAGAATTAAAAGGTATACAGAAATTTCCCAAGCAAACAGAGCAAAGTGGAACACAGGGTTACTGTTATAGAATTGAAAGTGCACTGCAAAGCTCCAGTAATCAGAGCAGCATGGCATTAGCCTAACAAAGACGCTGACACTGGTGGACAGAGCAGAGAGTGTGGGGTCAATGCATGGATCTGCAGCCAGCTGGCCTTCAACAGAGAGGCTAAGGAGAGGCAGGAGAGAAACAGCCTTTGAAATATGGTGGTGGCAAAATTGCTTATTCACTGGAGAAGAAAGGACGAGACTGCTCTCTCTTATGACAAAAATCAATTCAAAATGGTCTAAAGACTTAAACAGAAAATCCTACAGCATGAAGTTAGCAGAAGAAAACAGAAGGGAGAGACCTAGGGCCTTGGAATAGTTAGGAGTTTCCCAAGAAGACACTGAGAACAGGAAAATCAAGCAAAAATAAACAGATTTACATCAAACTAAATCACTTCTGAAAAGCAAAAGACTCAGCAAGTTGCATAAACAACTCATAGAATGACTGAAAATGTCTGTAATGAACACCTCACAAAGGTTAATAATTCCTCTCTTTCTCTCTCTCTCTCTCTCTCCCTCTCTCTCTCTCTCTCTCTCTCCATATATATATATATATATATATATATATATATATATATATATATATATTTTCAAGGTCAAGGTCAGTAGAGTGCTCACCTGCCATGGGAAAGACCCTGGGTTCTTTCTGCAAATACAGCAAACAAACTGACAGTCAAGTAAAAGAAGCCTCAATATCTGACGTATGCCCTGATTTCCACACTTTACGGTGTCCACATGCCCAGATGCATCACTTTGTATCCCACAGGTAGGATAATTCCATGTGTGAATACAATGAAGAAATGGATACAAGGAAAAGCTATGAGTTACTGGGGATTGAACCCAGGGGCACTTAACTATTGACTGGCATCCCAGCCCTTTTTCCTTTTTATTTTGATACGGGGTCTCACTGAGTTGCTTAGAGTGTCCCTTCGTTGCTGAGGCTGGCCTTGAACTTGCAACCTTCTGCCTCAGCCCTGAGCCACTGGGATTAGAGGCTGCGCCATCATGCCTGGCTGAGACTGGCACTTTGATCCCTGACCCTCGAGGCTCCCTGAGAGGCCAATGTCTGTTTCTAAAGTGAGGACATCGGAGGAGGGAGCCAGACTAAGTAGCCTTTAGCCAGGGTTGATTGTTTTCCGAAGGAAATATGATGAGAATCCCACAGTAGGTGTGTTAATCTGTGAGAAGTCTGGTGAAAACTGCTGTGGTGAAGGCTGGGCTGCTCTAGGACCTTCCCTTTATAACTTATCTATGAGGAATTCTGTGCTTAGACCTGGCAGAACAGAGTCTTCAGCGGTGTTCATAGATGACCACTTGAGCTCCACGTCAGGTACAACTGCAAGAACTGGGTCCTAATTAGAATAAGCCAGACTCCATGTCTGTATAATATGTCAAAATACCTCGACTGTCATGTACACCTAAAAGAATAATTTTTATTTTATTTTTTTTTATTTTTTTATTTTTTGGTTTTTTAAATAATTTTTATTTTTAAAAGTAAATTGTACATTACAGGGGGAAAAAAAAAAACACAAGCAAAGAACAAAGTCATCCAGTCACAAGAAGCTTAGTTGGACATGTCCCTCTAGGTTGTGTGCATATATACACAATATCCCATTTTGTGTGATTGAGATTGTGGTGTGTATTATGCTTTTCCACACATYATGAATATTCACCAATTCAAAATCCTGAAGCTACATGAGTATTTTTTGATAACCAAGAATACACCAACTCAATCTGTTATCCTTTCTTGGGGACAAAAATTTCACTGAAGACAGAAATGGCAACAGGCCTCTAGATAGACATATTGGCAGAGTTACAACTAAAACAATTCATTCCCTTAATGCTCAATGTAAAATGAAACAGCAACAGAATATACCAAGCTTGTTAATCATTAACAGATTTCTACTACTAAAATATTAGCAAGAATGCATGTTCCCAGTGAATTAAAATATTCCTATAGTACAGCCAGAAGATGCACACACACCAGTGGCTCACATCAAAATGTAAATTTTTTGAGCACTTGCTTCCATCTTTCTGTGTGTCTCCCTGTGCCCCTCTGCTGCCAGCCTAATGAACAAGWCCTGATACACAATGCCCAGAGAWAAAACAATTCCATGTCCAAGATGYATCTTTTCTATYAATTATAACAAAAAGATATTTACAAGTTGGCTAATTCACTAGCACTACTTTTTATGACTGTCACCTCAAGCATCTAGAAAGCTTAAATATTGTGAAATGAAGTATGAACTTTGTGCACAAAAACACAATTTACCAAAAACAAGAATAATTTTTAAAGACTGTCATAGAATGGAATAAGACCTGTGTATTTGCTTGCAGTAATAATGACCTGGATAAAGAGAAGAATCCTTTTTTAAGAACCAAGTATTGAACATGAAAGGATGCTGTATTTTGTCCAATGCTTTCTCTGCATCAATTGCCATAATCATGGTTCTTATCTTTAATTCTATTTATGTGATGAATCATGTTTATTGGATAAAGAAATGGTGGTATATCTACACAATGGAATATTACTGAGCATTAAAAGAGAATAAAATCATGGCATTTTTCTGAGTTGGAGACTCTGATGCTAAGTGAAGTAAGCCAATCCCCAAAAACCAAAGGCCAATGTTCTCTCTGATCAGTGGATRCTGATCTGTAACAGGGAGGAGGGAGACATGGGAAAATGGAGGAAAAGGAGGGGAATGTGGGGAGGGTGCTGGGGGCAGAGAAGATGGTGCCCTGAGATGGACATCACTACCCTAGGTACATGTGGTACTGCACGTATAGAGTGACCCTGCGTCGTGTACAACCACTGAAATGAAATGTTGTGCTGCAATTGTGTACGATGACAAAAATGCATTCTGCTGTCATGTGTACTTAACTAAAATAAAATAATTAATTGTAAATATCCAAATATTGAAATAAATGTCTATGAAAAATGTTTCCTTATAAGAAAGCAGATATTTAGGTTTTTACTTAAAAAAAAAAACTCAGACAAAAGTGTCTGTGAAAGAAGGTGTAGAGCATCGATTGACACATCACCAGCGAACCACAGAGGATGGAATTTTAAGACACGTCTCTTTAGACAAAACAAACGCTTAAAACCCGAGGATGGCTGAAGCTTGCTGCTTGTGGGAAGCCCAGTGACCAGGAGCCTGCCTCCCTGGCCAGCCTCATGCTGTTCCTGCTTCTGAAGAGAAAATGCTGCCTCCGTCTCTCCCCAGCCCTGGGTCCAGGCTTATGGTCATTCCTTTGCACCAGGTCAGAGCAACCTCCTGGAGAGTAGAAGGCATGTTGGTGAGGAGGACTGTCCTTGGGCTCAGATGGACTTTGCAGGAGGCCTTGAAGATTCATGAGGCAGGAGGGGATCTGATGGGGTAAGTGAGCCTTTGTGGGTGCACAGCTTGAGCAAGGTGACTGTCCTGTTCATGTCCATGATTGGGACTCTCAGGAAGCAGATTTCCAGTGCTGGGCATCATTTACTGTATTCCTGAGAGTAAAGAAGGACTGAGGAAGAAGGGGAGTGGTTCATTTTGTTCCCAATAATCTGGTCCCTCCTGGTCCACAGCATGGAACTTTGGGGAAAAGAGGAGAAGGTCAGGATGTGGAAACACCAGGTGTGAATGTGGGCTAGTTGTTCACTGTCCCGCTGCACACCATTCTGTTACAGTAATTAAGCCTTAATTAAGACAGAGTCAACTTCTGAGCAGTAATTGTGGTGGGTGAAGGAAAGTTGCACTTCAGGGACTGAGGTTCTGCAGAGAGTTGCTTCTCCCTGACAGGTGTCACTGTGACAGCTGGAGTCCTGCTGGTTTACGTGGCAAGAGCTCCACAGACTCAGAAGGGACAAATAGGACCTGGGAAGCTGCCCCTTGTCAGAAGGAACAACGCAGAGCTTGTCTGCAGCACAGCCACCAGGTGAGTGCACCTGGGGGTCGGATTTGCTCCCAGGCACCTGTGACATTTCTAGCAGCACAGTTCTTACTCTCTGTGATTGAGCAAGGGGTTGCTGAGAGGGCTGTGAGCCTTAGGGCCTTCATGCTTCTTGTAATATCTAAAAGGATGCACCTGGGCCAGGAGGATGAAGGGTCATGTGCAGCAGATGTCCCTAGAGGTATGCTGCAGCCCCTTGGACCTGTGTCAGGATCCGGATTCATTGGAGAGAGCTCTGTGGTGGGTCCTGTATTTAGAAAGGTAGAAGGCTCTCCACACCCAGGGAACCAGACGGCCTCAGCTCCACGGTGCCCTGCTTCATGGCTCATCAGCATCCCTAGTTTTCATAAGATTTGGACACTAAACTTTCTCCAAGACTCTCTATTAGCTTTCGCATCCCATTGGAGTGACCCAAAATGCACTGCATTTACTGCTTGAAAGTGCTCGTTCTTCTGTCATAACTAAAGTGTGTTGCACGTCATGTTTATTACATGCCTATAATGTATGTTTGTTGAATAATAACTTATTTGAAACCAGTTTTGCTTGTGAGAATTGCTGCTATGTTTTTTCTGTCATATAGTTTGACGTATCATACTTTGAACTTAGTCCAGTATTATGCAGCAGGGAGCAAGAAACTGATGTCTTTCTTGAAAGAATTAGGCCTGGGATGGATGTGGTCACTGGTCTGTACCATTGAATGTGGGACTGGAGGGAGCATTGCATGTCTATCCGACCTCTGACAAAGAACCTCCAAGAGGAGCATTCCTTGGTTCTTCTAGGGACCCTTTACTGCATCCCCTGCTTATCTGATTTTCTCAGAGAAAACACTGTTTCCTTCATGACTTTGGCTGATTCAGCTCTAACTGTTGATATCATATCTTTTGGGGTTGTACAGTTTCATTTTCTATGAAGACTGCAGAAAACAACTGAGCATTTGTAAGCAGTGAAATCACAAAGCCATTTTTGTATAAAGAAGTTCAGAAATGTAAAGGTCTTATCATCAAAGATATAAAACTTGGAAACGTAAAATCAAAACTGAAGATTCTTAGATGAACCAAAAAACATGATGTAAATTTTGTACCTAGCTGAGTTTACAAGATGTTGAAGATATTGAAGGCAACATGATTTTTAAGATTCCTATGTACAGGGAGAGGGGAAGGCAGTCAGGTTAACATCCGATCCTGGCTCTTGAATTAAATAATTGACAACAAATTAGAATAAAAAAGAAAAGAGACAGAAATTTTTGTTTGGAGAGCTGAGGATTTTGTGCATCTGCACACAGTTTGAACACAGGAAGGAAATTATGAATCTAACAAATAATATGGAGTTTTTAAAAAAAACTCTGGGTTGAAAGTTTATAATTTTTAATATTAGTCTTCAAAACGGCATCTGAGACTGCATAGAATGATCTACAAATAGTGCCACAAGGAAAGTGATATCTCATGGGACAAAGATCTGCACCATTACATATATCCTGACTATTCTTATACTCTAGAAAAGTGCTGGTGTGGAATACTTTTGCAGATATGTATCACTATTACCATTGCTTTCTCCAGGTGTTTGCTGCATCCACGTTTTCCTGCGTATGAAGTAAGGAATGGTTTTCCATCTTGCCAAAGGAACAGTCTTCATGTTTCTGGCAGGACTTGGCATTGTGGGGAACATCTTTGTTCTTGTGAAATATATCTGCACACTTAGAAGCACTATGAAATCTATCCACCTCATTCTCATCCATTTGGCTTTTACAAATACGATGACACTTCTTACAAAAGGGATGATGGGGACAATATCCAGTTTTGTGTTAAGAAACCTCCTAGGTGACATAGGCTGTAAGATTGTGGTTTACCTCAGCAGGGTGGCCCGGGGCCTGTCCATCTGCACCACCAGTCTCCTCACAGTGGTCCAGGCCATCACCATCAGCCCCAGAGCCTCCAGGTGGAGGAGGCTGCAGCCCAGGTCAGCCTGGCACCTGCTTCCCTTGTTGCTCTTCTGTTGGATTCTCAATTCCTTGATAGGCATGAGCTTACCATTTTATATCAAAAATATCAGCAGTATGAACACATCAAAAATCAGTAAAAACAATGGCTACTGTTATTTTGAATCAGAAAACAGGATAATCAGATGGATTTTTATTGCTCTCATGGTCCTTCSAGATGCTGTGTTCCAGGGTGTCATGGGCTGGGCCAGTGGCTACATGGTCTTCCTCCTCCACAAGCACCACCAGCAGGTGCTCCACCTTCAGACCTCCAAGCTCCTCCACAGAACCCCCCCTGAGATGAAGGCTGCAAAGAGTGTCCTCCTTCTGATGCTCTGCTTTCTCTTCTTCTATTGGGCAGATTGTGTTGCTTCTTTATATATAAACTTCTCATTAGAGAAAGATTCCATTGCACTAAGTCTTCATGAATTTCTCACTGTTGGTTATGAAATTCTCAGCCCATTGGTGCTGATTCACAGAGACGGACATTTTTGCTGAATGTTGGCTTGCTTAGTGGGAGAGAGAGACATGGAGAAAACATCTATTTMATTGATCCTTTCTATAATTTTGAAATAACTCTTAGTTCTGTTATATCATTTTAAAACTAATTAAGGCAAAATAGCCTTGATATGCAAGGATTTATTTTCAGTAAGAGTTCCAGTGACTTGTAGCCCAGAGCTGACCCAGAAGTCACAGAGAGCTGTGCTGAGGCCGAAATCTCTGCTGTAATCYGAGCCCTCGGCTGGTGGCTGTGATCCTAGAGTTTGTGAGACCGGCCTTTCACTAGCACTGTCCCAGCAATACGGAGCAGGATGACCAGCAGGTGAGGTTTTTCTGAATTAATTGTGCTGACTCTTTGGTCCAAGAATTCTATTTCTAAGACCCAATTCTATAGTATACTTGCTTTTTTCAGAATTACAGCAGRAAAAAAAAACATTATACATTACATTGTTGATAACTTCAGAAACACAACTTACATACTAGCCAAAGGAATTCTTTTTTTGTTACTTGGAAATCTACATAAGTGTCCGTTCACAGAAAGGGATTATGGAATTTATGAAAGAATAGTCAGCTAAGAAAATGAGGTCTAATCCTGTCTCCATGGTGTCTAAGATTTTTTTCTGTAAACTTATATAATAAGTAAAACCCTTCTACTATATTCCAAAGTGGTCTCATCAGAAATGTGATTGCTACAGCCATGAATTCTACCCAATGCCTATGTTGGTTGGTTCTGATCTCAGAATTTAAGAACTCCCGTCTACTTAAGTTCTGCAGAATCCAGACACCCTGATCCAGTCATTAATGCCAGACATGCCTGTGAGTCAGGCTGTTCTGAGGACCAGGCACCAGCACAACACACCCACCTTCGACACAGGGAGTCCCACGTTTRTCCCTGGCCTCTGGGGACAATTGTCCCGCTGTGCTGAGGGATTCCATTCAATTTCATTGGGGGAGATGGGCCACAGCACCCCTCTGGAGGTTGGGCTCTCCTTGTGCAGTTGTCACAGCTGTGCTGAAAGGCCTGTCCTGTGGACCCACTGATTGAAGGGACAAGAATTTACATGATAAGTCATCTACCCATTCCAGTCTCCTGAGGTCTGGGTAGCTCCCTCTRGGATCCACTAAAGGGGTCCTGACATTCCAACTGCATTTATCATAGTGTGCTTCAGTGGAAAGCAGAAGAGGCACAGAAATGGCCTTTCTCCAAGGGAAAGTCTGCAGGTAGTGGGGGAGTCCTGGGAGCAGCCATCATCACTGGGCTCTGGGCTCAGAGAGGATCTCTGTGGGCCCTCTTCCAGGGAATACACTGTGGGCTCCAGGGACTCTTTCCTCCTCTCCCTCTTCAATAAATAGTGTTGGGGAAACTGGATTTTCCCAGCAGTTTCAGTTGGCCCACCTAGCAAACCCTGGATCAGTCCTCCCCTCTCAGGATAAAGTATTGATTCATAATCTCTGCTTGATGCGGCTCTGTCAGTCGGTTTGGCCTGGCCCACCTTCCCAGCCCAGCAGCTGAACTCTACACCTCTGAAGATCCACTCTGCACACACCTCTCTAGCTGGAACAGCAAGCCTTCTGTGAGCTCTGGGAATTATCTTCTGCAGCATACACAGCTTTGCTCTGAATTCTATCTTCCTGTGAAATCTATCCCAAGATTTTCATGTCTCCCTACAGCACCCTGACCTGCCGCAGTCCTGTTGATCATAATTTGATGACCCATTTCATGAAGCCTTAATGTCCTTTATGTCTGTACCTGGCTGAAGCCAGAGCATCACACTGAAACCGATAACCTAGTGAAATTACAGGAAATACGATGGATAAGAGCAGGTTTAACACCCTCATAGAAATGGCTAACATTTAAATGTAGAAGGTTCAATTGTAGAAGTGTCCGATTTCTTAAGAATTTCAATGGCATGAGATTTTAAAAGGGAAATGAGAGTTTCATAGATAAAAAGACACCTAAGAAATGTTTGAAAAGGACACAGTATTGTATCTTGTTGGGGTGTCATTTCAAGTAAATTATAAGCAATCAATGAYGAGATAATCAGAGAAATTTGAACAAGTAATGGAGTTCTGCGGGGTACTAGATGTTARTACAGAACTGGTATCACTGTGGGTGTGGAATAGGCCTAGTGGTTATTTTTTAGTATTATTTATTGGCAATGCATCTTGAAGTATTTACTAGTGGAATAAAATGATGAACCAACATGTTTAAAGTGTTCCATGTGGTGGGAGAGGAGAGGGGAGGATGAAGGGGCCATCCACAGGTCACAGCTGAGGCTGAGGGCTGGATCCTGGTCCTCATCGTGCACTAGGCTGCTGGCTCTGAATGCATGCTTCACATTTTCCATCATGAGCACCAAGAGGCTCAGAGCCACGTTCTGACCCTGGGAAATGAAGGGGATCGCAGCTCACTTGGGCCTGCTGGGACCTGGCAGAAGAGCTTGGAGCTAAACAGAAGCTCATGGAGAGTGAGTGGTCCGAGGAGCCTGGGGACCAAAGTGATAGGCAGCCACCACACCCCCACCCCCACCCTCTGAGTACACCCGCAACAGTCACTGCTACTCGGGATTTCCTAATTTATTTTATATTTTAAATTTTTGATTAACACAAAACATTTGTACACATTTATGAGTTATGACTAATGTACACATTGAGTATTGATAGAGAGTAATTAGCATTTGTGTCACATGAAGTTTTGGGGTTTTTTGGTTTTTGGTTTTTTGGGGTTTTTTTTGTTTGTTTGTTTGCTGTGCTTGTTTGTTGTGGTCCCAGAAATGCAACTCAGGGCCTCTCAGAGCCAGACCAGCAGGTCCAACACGGGGCCTTGCCCCAGCTCTAACTTACCGTTTCTTCATGGTGAGTTCATTGGTTGTGACATGGATGGTGTAAGGTCAGGCAATGGCAGCAACCCAAAAGGAGGCAGATTTAAAAGGTCACTGAACTAGGCTTTATTGAGCCTCCACTCCCAGGTGGAACTCTATCAGACCCACAGAGCAGATAAGAAGAGGGTCTGAGTAGAAACCATGTGGGGGCTGCACCAGGCTGGAATTCTGTGGGGCTTAGSGCAGGAAGGGGGGCTTGGGGCAGGAAAGGGGGTTTTTAGAGTCCCTTGTCCCACTGGAGTTGGTCGGGGGAACTGGCTGAGACCCAGGATTGGCCAGGAGACCCCGCTGATTGACAGGGGGTTTCCATGGTTCCTGATTGGTGTTTCTTTCAGCTGCATGTGTGCTTGGTGCTTTGTTCCTAAATTACCACCATGGACCTGACAGATGGACCTGGAGGACATCATGTGAAGTAAAATTAGTCAGACACAGAACCACAAGCACTGCAGGGTCTCACTCACAAGGGAATCTGAAAAAACAACAACCAAAAAAAAAAAAAACAGTGGTTTTAAAACAGGAAAACAGAGCCTGTGGGTCTAAGGAGCTGTTTCAAGTTCCTCTGTGTGGGAGCGGTGGTTCCTGTCTCCCCCACAGAGTCAGGAACATGACTGGCCAAGAGAGCTCTCCAGGCTTCACCTTCAAATTCCCCTCCCTCCTGTGCACAGAGCACACCTTGCCTYACACTCATCCAGGCTCTTTCTGAAGCCAACCAGACTCCAGGTGCAGACAGGCTGCTGGACCAGGTCCCAGCTGGGAGTCGCAGGGTGAGCAGGTACACTGTGGGCAGGCAGCTCCCCAGAGCACTGGCCAGCCCTGCAGAGCCCCTTGGAGGCCCTGTGGTCCACAGCAGRCCTGAGCAGCAGCTCACACAGCAGGAGGACCAGCAGGAGCACATGCAGGTTGAAGGAGCTGAGGGTTGATGGCACATAGGACCTGGATTTCAGGTCAGTGGGAAGCAGGGGAAGCACAGGAAATGGCCTTTCTCCAAGGGAAAGTCTGCAGGTCCTGGGGGAGTCCTGGGAGCAGCCATCATCACTGGGCTCTGGGATCAGAGAGGGTCTCTGTGGGCCCCTCTTCCAGGGAACTCACTGTGGGCCCCAGGGACTCTTTCCTCCTCTCCCTCCCTCTTCAGTAAACAGAGCTGGGACAACTAGATTGCCACATGACAAAGACAGAGTTGAATGTTACCCAAAGACAACACTGAATGGATTGAAGTGTCAAATGTAAGGCATTCAGCTCTATTAACAAACAAGGGGAAGCTCTTTGGCAATGATTTTATAGAAATGACTCTAAAAGCACAGGCCACAAAAAACCAAATGAAAGTTAGGAGACTACATCACATGAAAAAGTTCCTTCTATCAAAGAAAACAACCAAGATTCTGAAAAGACAGCCACAGAGTGGGATAAAGTGTGTGCAGACCGTATAGTGGGCTAACACCAAAGCCRGGTAAGGAGCTCCACTCAACTGCACAGAAAGCAGATAACGCCATTTAAAAATGGGCAAAGTTCCTGGTAGATAGCTTTTCAAAGAAGACATGCAAATTGCCAAAATAATGWGGAAATGTTCGTTCTTTAAGAGAAAAGTTTAGAAAAATATTTTAGCAAATAATCTTAATAGCTTTATGACAGAAGATGATATAAATAAAAAAGCATTTAAATTTTTGAGAAATGAAAAGAATCCAATTACCCCCTTAACTGTACAGGGGTATCGATATCAGCACCTATGTGACCTGTACTCTACCGTCATATGAATATGAAATACCCAACCAATTGGGAAACCAGGTGGTCCACGGACACTGGAGAGTCTGCACCCCTCAAGAATTACTGATGGCTTCCTCCCTGTCCTCCTGCCCTCCTCCTCTCSTCCCCRCCCCTCCTCTTCCCCTTCTGCTCTGTGTATTTCCCACCTCCCTCTCTTCACATATTTATAACCTTATTAGATTGATGTTCTAAGTGATGACTTCCACTTAAATGCTAAGACCTGGCTGGAACCAAGAGCCTCCTTAAGGAGTCTGCTAAATATAAGGAGAAAAGTAACTAGATGG